GTTTTCCCTATTTGTCGATTACATATAGTTGGATAATTTGACTAGTAACTTGGCATTTATTCATACGCAAATGTCACATACATGAACAATTCTATATGAAGTCATCTTAGAGGGAGAGATATCATTGTAACCCTCAGAAAGGGAAATTAAATTTGATATTCAATATTGATTGCACTTGAATAGATCTCAGCAAATATATTTTGTAAACATTTATTTTATGAAAATCAGATGTGTAAAACAAAAGTAATGAAATTTTAAAGTTTTGAAACATTGAAAAAAATAAAGTAATTGCTTTATACATTAATTTGGTTGTTATGCACAAATCAGAAAGAACAAAGACCAAAAAAAAAAAAAAAATTAGTGTTACTCCACTGAAGATGCAATCAGCAGATGCTCTTTGCCATATGTGAAACTAACACCTCCAAATATTAGTGTATTCAATACTATTTTTATGCATTATTCACAAATAATAGTGTATCCAAGACTCTTTTAAGCATTACCCACTAGTTGTAGTGTATTCAATACTCTTTTAGACAAAGTACAAGTTCATGTGAGTATAGTGTAGTGGATGACCATTGGCTATTTGCTGCTTGGATATTTGGGTCTAAAGCTGTGAAAAATATATAATATTTTTTAATTAGTTGACGTTTATGTGTTTTCAAGATAGCTCGAAGATGTTAGCTTGTTGAAAGGGTCTAATTTTGTGCATAATATGCCAATAGACTATGATTTGGGATATTTTTTTGTTCTTTTGATTAGAGAAGAGTGTTAATCAAGTTGACAACAATGGTTAAAGACAAAGCTAATTGGACTAGTACGTTTTATTATTTTTGTGGTACTTTCAAACAACAACATAATAGAAAATTTTACAAGTGAAACGGTACTGATTGGTATTCATTAGATAATTGAACGACAAGAGATGATACATCTAATATATTTTATAATTTTTTATTCATCAAAAATATCACAAAAATAATATTATACGATACTCGGCACTACCTAATAATTTTACCAAGACAAAGGGTTGGAAGCTGCCAAAACACACAATGACAACTGTGGTCCTCTCATGAGTACACCCCAAGTTAATTTCCGACATCTCTCTCTCTCTCTCTCTCTCTCTCTCTCTCAATGTTTGTAACTATGCGGATAGTATAAAATAAGTACACTTCATCTATGGCACACGTATCACAAAGCTGGAAATTTAGAAAGACTTTTATGTATGAAATCAAAAGAGGTGTAATATTTTCCTATGATTAATTGGGGAAGGAAATAAAAGGGACACAATATAATAAATGAGTTGTGTTATTAAGCAAGTGGGCAGTGGAGGACTCATGAGATGGGCCACCATTGTTACAGCAAACAGAAAATTAAAAGAGGTCTGTGTTCTCTTGAGGAAGATGAGAAGCTCATCAGATATATCACCACTCATGGCCATGGCTATTAGAGTTCTGTTCCTAAACTTGCAGGTTTGTAAAGAATTTCAATTTAAAGTCTTCTCTTATTAGCTAGCCATATGTATATATACACACACTTCATTGTCCTTCCAAGAACTCTGTTGCCTTCACACCATGCATTGGAAGGAAAATGGGAGGCGGACTAACCCACCATGTTGTTTTCTTTCCCATGGTCAATATCTCCTTTTAATTAGTCACCAATGAACAACAAACAAATAATTTGGTTGTTATGGAAGTGAGGCTAGCATGTTGATTAATTAATAATTGATTAATCAATAGTTAATTAAATAATTAATGAACCGATTTACTTGAAACAGAGGCACATTTGGTCATATAGTGGGCTTTCGAATCTAATTGTGTTTTAGGATGGATGGGGGGCCACCCCCAATGCCCAAAATCTAACACTGAAGAACCTAACAAATCTGACACTGAAGAACCTAACACATTTGGTCATATTGTGGGCTTTCAATTTCACTCTCAATTGACTCTGAAAAACCTAACACTGAAGATTGAAATTTGAACAATCCAAAATCCATAATCCAAAACCAACAATCCAAAATCCACAATTCGAAATTTCAACCAAACCCATTCACGAAATCAGAAAAACCCTAAAAAACCATTTACGAAATCAGCAGAAAATGAAAGAAAAAAAATCATATAAAACCCTACAAAAAGCGTGAGAAATGGGGAAGGGAGAGACATTGAGAAAGAGATAGAAAGAGACAGACCCAGATCAATAGAGAGGGAGAGAGACGAGAGACAAATACCTGTAATCAGTGGTGGTGCTGATTTGCAGTGGTCGTGGTGGCGAGCGATGGTGATGATCGGCGGTGGTGAGCGGCGGTGAGGTTTGCTATCGACTGCTCTCTATGTTGGTGTATGAGACATAACAGAACCGAAATGTGTTTTTGTGTAAGTGGGATACACTAGGCGCCAATATTAATGAGTTTCCCTCTAAATTTTTTTCGAAGCTTCAACGACTAAATGCTTATTTGTCGGCAAAAATCATTAACAGCGACTAACCATAGGTCGCCAAACGTTACATTTTTGGCTACTAATGTTTACTTTCGTCGGCAATGTTTAATATACAATGACTAAATTAGTTTGGGTTGTCAAAAATTCATCAAAATGTGTACATTTTTTTGCGACTAAATTTTTTGTTGGAAAATGTTATTATATGGCAACTAAATGAAGATTTAGTAGGGTAAAATTCCAACAAACAACGACTAAAACTATTTTTGGTCACCAATAAGAACTATATGGCGACCAAAAATAATGTAGTAGCTAAAAGATGAAATCAATGCTGACTAAATCAAGTTTTTAGTCGCCCAATATACTATGTTTGGCGATTAAAATTGTTTTGGTCGCCAATTTTAGTCGCCAAAAGTGTATTTTCTTGTAGTGTTACTTAATACATCACATTGTCCAAAGTTCAAATTCAAATGACAAAAACATCATATTGTCCAAATAGTTCTACTTTCATAGCCTTGAAAGCTTAAGAAAACTAATCATAGCTCAAAGAACATTCCCACTAAACTAATCATAGCTCAAAGAACATTCCCACTCCATGAAATTCCAACATGCACAAAAGTTGCCTTTCTTCCACAGTCTTGCGAGTTCACTGTTCACAGTAACCCCTATAGAAAACATAGCAATTTGTGAACATAGTAGAGAAGAAACAAAGTAAAGGATTTTTTTTGGAAAAAAATTATCAATAAATCCTATTTTACTCTTAAGATTACTATTAAGTTCTATTAAGTTTCGAAATGTACAATTAAGTCCTATTTATTATAAAATGTTCTCAAAAAGTCCATTCCTCTGTGATGGTGTACCTTATCCCAATTTGACCCATCTTATTTAATATGAATAATGAACAATAATTTTATAAACAATTTTGACTTAATTAAAATTAAAAATTTTAATTGTAAAAATTATTAATATTATATCAAAAAAATCATAAATAGCAGTCGGATCAAAACAACTATAATATAATGCATCATTTTTTGTTATTTCAAATTATGAATTTTTTTAGTATAAACAATCTAAAAGAGCTAACTCGATTAAAATTTCAAAGAGTTATGAAAAATAATACTATGAAAAAACTTATGCTTTTGTTTATGAAAATTCATTTAATTTCAAAAATTAAAAATATTTTTATTATAAAATTGTATATAAAATAAATTATTTATGAATATTTTCATTCCTATTTTAAAGATAAAAATAAAATATACTATTATGAATAATTGAACTTTTTTACAACAATTCATAAAATAAAAAAGAAAATAGGGCTTATTTATTGATATTGAAATTTAATATAACTCAATAATAATTTTCAAAACAAAATAGTACTTATTTGTAATTCTTTCATTGTGATTTCTAAATCTTTTAATACAATATCATAATTTTTAAAATTAAAAAATATAATTTTTTTAAATTAAAAATATTTATGAAATGGTTGTTCGTATTAAATAAGAGGTAAAATTGGGATAAGATACATTATTATGGGGAATGAACCTTTTGGAACATTTTATGACAAATAGGACTTATTTGTCCATATTGAAACTTGATAAGACTTAATAGTAATTTTAAGAACAAAATAAGACTTATTAGTAATTTTTTCTATTCTTTTAATTTCATGAAAAAGAGAAAGGAGAAACGGGCCTCACTTCTCACTCCTTAATAGAATTTTTGTAAGGAAAATGATATTGAAATCTATTTTCTAAATCAGTTTTTAAAACCTAATGATGTGTAAAACAGATAATTGGCTAACAATTACATAAGATATGGGAGAGAATTGTCTTAGATATTCGAATAGAATACCACATTATCGGGTTTAAAAACTAGATCTAACTATTAGGTTAGATTAGTGCTTCTCTTTTTGTAATCCTACCTTATGTTCACATGAATCATATAATGTTTTTTAAATGATGCCATACTTGTTGCATCAGCCCATCCAATATTGTTTGTTGTCATTTTGAAACGAAGAACATATGACAATAATGCCATAGAGTTATAGCTTTTCTGTACCCAAAATCTCATATTCCCTATACTTGATGAATAATCAACTGTATGACGTGTCAAGAATTTCAAAATGTGAAAGTCTGGAGACATGATTGTGTGAATGAAAATGCTTTGGATACATGGGAATAAGAATTTTGGGTAAGAAGAACTATGCCATTCTACAAGTACAAGTTAGAGTTACACAATTTTATCTAAAAGTATATCACAAAAACATTTTAAATAAACAAAATAGTAAATCTAAAAACGTACCTAGAAGTATAGAACTTATTGCGAAACAATTCCTTGTCAACTTCAGTTTCCATGTCCCCTCCTTTTTTGTCTTCTTGGCTTGTATTGCTTCCTTCCAAAGGTCTCGATGAACCATTCATGATACCTTGTCGTTATTGTGTGCCCAATAACTATCCTGAGCACTATCCCACTCACATATCCCATGCATATGACAATCCAATCAACTGTACTTGGGAACATTGAATCATTATCCTCTTTGAAGCTCAATGGTGGTGCCTTTGGCTTTCCACATTTCCTTCACAAAGGGTCTCCGTACAATCCTAAATTCCCCTCATAGGAATTGTTCTCAAATGTGTTTAATTGTTTCCCATGTGGAATGGGTCCAGTGAAATTGTTATTTGGCACATTTAAAAATTCAAAGAAAGTGAGAAGTGCTAGTTGCTGAGGGATTTCTCCTGGGAGCTTGTTTTGAGAAAGGTCCAAAGATTCAAGGTTTGTTAGGTTCCCCAAGCATGATGGCATTCCACCATTAAGGTCATTGTTGGAAAGGTTGAGCACCTGAAGGCCCTTAAGGTTTCCAATAAATTCTGGAATCACCCCTTCAAATTTGTTGCTTGAAAGATCAATGGCAGTGAAGATATTCAGCATACACTTATATTCTATATTTACACCTTTGTTTGTAATATTCATGTTGAAGTAATAGATAGAAGTCCATGGAAGGCTGATATTTAGGGGAATTTCTATGGGTGCGTACATATATGTCATCTTGTTGACATCAAAAAATTTCATTGCAATCCAATTTTGAAAGTATTTGCTAGCAAATTGCCTGTAAAACCATTATGAGAGAGGTCAATGATGCGCAAATTTGGAAACTCTAACTTGATTTTAGGGCTCTCAATTGCACTATAGAATTTGTTGGATCGCAAGATAAGAACCTGTAACTGTTGGAAAAATGGTTTAATATAGGCATATTTTTTTTAGCTCAAATTTGAGTGGACCCCGAACGTCTTTTGGGGTGGGTCCGAAGAGGTGACGTGTTTCTTGCCGCGTGGCAAGTCACACGGTGGAGACGGAACGTCAAAACCATTTATGAGTGAATGAGAAGTTGACGTCATTTTCGGGTTTAACATTAATTTTTTAGATAAAATTCATTTGAATTCTTTAATAAAAAATTGTTGTGGGAATTTAATTTAAATTCTAAATTTAATTTTTGGGTTCCTAAGTGGTCTCCTAAAATTTTTACCTCTTTCTTTATTTATTAAACTATTTAATTTGTTATATATATATATATATATTCAAAATAGTTTATAAAATAAAGTCCAAACAGGTTTTTCACTATTGACTTTGATTAAACTATTCTAATAGTTTAAATAAAGTATATTCCAAACAGTTTGTTTGATAGTTCTCCAAACGGCTACTTTTTCAAATTTGTTTGGAAGGAAGAAAACTGCTTCATGTGGTACGGGCAGTTTTTCTTCAAATTTGTCCAGATCTGTATAATATTCAAAACAGTATCTGTTGCACCTGTTCACTACATGTAATTGCACCTGTTCGAGAGTGTGATGTTGCCTATAAATACATGGGTTTACCAACAGTCTTGGGAATGAAAAACAGTCTCATAATTTGTCTTTTTTGTTGTCCAAATTATTTTTAGTGCATTATTCTTCATTTTAGATGTAAAAATAAATATTAGATTAGTTAGAACACAGGTTTGGTTCGCCGAACAATTTGTTTTGGAATGCATGAGAAATTTGACATGAAGGACAATAGGCATTGCCTGATGTAATTCTTGTATGATCCTCACAAAATTACCAAAACATCAGAAGGATATATAACCTTTGTCACAATCTCGCATTACATTGAGAACATACCTTGACAAAGGTTCAGCAAAAATGATGATCATCTTGCTAGAACTCCTGTAGATGTTATTTGTATCTTTCTCTAAGAATGTACAGGGAAGTATTTCTCAATATAGCAGTACTGCCCAAATTATTGGAAGGCTTAATATACTTGATGCAACCTGCACTCGCCCGGATTATAGGCTTATCCAGTAAGTAATTAAGTAAATATACAAGTAATCCGGGGAGTAGAACACTGGAAAGCAATTATAAGGGTTCTTAGATATCTTCCGATTTAACTGTTAAATTGGGGCTTCATTAATACACTTAGATATCCAGCAAGTCAACTTGAAGGATCTGTGATGCAATTGGGATATCGTGTGTGGTCCATCGTTTCAGTGGTG